CTGTAAATATTTGCTGAGATATTAATGATTAACCTTAGGACCTTTTGCCACGCCCATTTTTGATGTGACGGAAATGAGTTAAGAAATAGAAAACATGTACCGTGTTTCTATCGAGTTATAGAAACACGAGTGGAAGTTTGGGAGAACGAGAAATGCTGTGGGAACACGAGCCATAGGCGAGTGTTTCCACAGCTTTTTCGAGTTCTCCCAAGCTTTCACAAGTTTTTCTATAACTCGATAGAAATACGGAGAACATGTTTTCTGTTTCTTTTAGAAAACACGGCAACAAAAAAGGGAAACAACTTGTTTATTTTGATTATCAAAATGTAAATTCTCTTTGCTCTCGCCATCATTACGTCAACAGCTGGTACTAGTTCTGTGTTTCTATCGAGTTATAGAAACACGATTTTTAACCAATCAGTGAGCGTATTTTCTTAGGGTTGTTTTCTAAAGGTAAATGTGGCACTGGCTATATAACAGTCACAGTACATATCGCTTTTTTTTTTTTTTATTGAAACATTAATTGTTATGTCTGGTAGCCCTACCCACTGGTCCTGCTGCACCATCCTTTCCGTCTTGTCCATCATCGCCAAAAACTTGGGTGCTAGACGGTTGTGTCAAAGTTGGAGCTGATAGGTCTAGCTGACTCTCTGCCGCAGAGAAAACTCTGCGGCTGAACACTGTTAGTTTTTTAATGCCACGCATTTGGATGTTGCCCTGTGTAACAATACCAGACAAACTGAGAAAGTTGTAGAATAAATAGACTTACTGCTTCTGAGAAATGAGAATAATATTTCAAACACAGCTTCGCATACAAGAGCAACAACAACAAGTGGCTTTATTTGCGGTACCATAAATACATACAGTGTTGCAAAAGCTTTTGTAAACTAAAACTAATTAGTATATAATAACATATAATAAGGTTATGATATAGTGATCAAATTACATCAGTTCGATCAAAGCAAAATTAAATGAATTAAGCTAATTGAATATTAATATAATGATTTGTAGAAGTCATATGTTCGCCGATGACTTGTAACGAAGATAATTGTTTAAAAGTCGGAACGATATGTTCTATTTTTCTATAAAATTCATCTTTTAAATTAGAGTATTTATTGGAGTATATAAGAAAATGAGATTCGTCTTCAATTTGATTAGATTCACGAGTACAAATAGGGCATAGTCTGGAATTTGATCATATCTACCAGTTTCAATTCTTAGTTTATGATTGCCTGTCCTAAATTTCGCTAGGTCTTTTCTTTCGCTTACCAACGAACAATGCTTTTGAATGATCTCACCGCATATCTCGGAGAATGTTGCGCTTTTTAACCGCGCGGCCATGGGCCGAGCGCGGTTCATGTTCTACCCGTGGTTTATTTTT